AGCACATGACATTTTCTCTCCTGTCCTCTCTTTTGGGTGTGCAGCGCTTGACAATAAGATGAGCTCAATCAACATCAGTCTAAGATAGCCATCCTTAAAGGCTGCGGCCCTTTTGGTCTGTGGCCACTCAGGGACCGTCACAGCCCATGAGGCCCTGGACGCTCCAGACTTTGGAAGTTCCGGCAGAGTCTGAGACGCAACTTTGCATGCCCCAAATGCTGAATATGCTCATATGCTCCCGTGTCACAATCTTTGCCTTTCTGACGTCAGTGGGCCATCAAGCCACGAGTCGGTTCAACGTCAAGGTTTGCACGCAAGGTGGCTTGGCAGCTTTGGCCTCAGGTCACTACCGTCACTTGCGTCAATTCTGTCCTGCGAAGCCTTTGACACCTGGTCGCTGCCAGCCGTTGCGTCGTGAAGATCCAGGTTCTTGAACGAGACTGAGCCCCGGGCGTCGGTTGCCATGAGGGCAGTTTTAGGTGTTCGAAGTCTTCGAAGCATTCAAAGCGTTCGAAGCTTTACACACCCCACCTGAGTGTGAAGCGTATGCTGGTGTATGCTGCATCCTCAGCTCGTTCCAGGTTCATGAAACACATATCACATCAATTAGACCGTAGTTGAACCATCGCCGTTTTTCGTGTGCTTGCAGAGAGGGTTACTTAGAGCGGCTGTAGATTTGTAAATCTGGAGGTCCATGCAGAATGGCCACTTAAGCACCTAAGCCTACTTGCGGGGGCTCCGGCTGGAAGCTACAGCCTTCTTCACATCACAGATGACATGAAGGTCCGCAGCTCAAATGCAAGATAACGACAGTGTTGCTTCTGAACACGTCCAGAGCAGCAAGACAAAAGAATCACCGCGACACAGCATACCGCTGGAGCAAGGTGGGAAAAAGGCAGCGACCTACGCCCGACACCCGGCGATGCAGGATGATTCTGCTTCAGTGGCCTTAGGCTGGGCTTAGGGTGCTGCCGTCGTCGCCTTGTGCGGGCTGAAAGCATCTTCAGCCGAATTCCAGCTTCACCCGCATCTGCTGCAAACGGATGCAGTCGACAAATGTCGACAAGGCTGGTGCAAACATGATTTCAACGATTTGCTGTGCAGATGCAGCGTTTATGGCGAGTCGTTCGCCTTATATGGATTGCAGTTCTCGGCAACCCGGCAAAGCTTGTCACTGAGGGGTTCCCCATTCTGTAACGTTGTTCGAAATTGGCTACAAAAATCGTTCTCGTCGGTTCCGGTGCACGAGAACGATAGTCCCACAAGAACGATTCGATAGTCCCACAAGAACGATTCTCAGATGAGGATAGAAATCTGTTCTGAATCCATATGCCGGTGGCTACTAGGACATAATGGGACATACATGCGAAGCTACCTTTCCCATTCTTTCAACTGGTCGCGATCGTTCTTCTCGCTTTCGGCGCACGAGAACGGTAATTGTCGCCAGTAGGATCGATGGGCCAGAATGCAAATGCACAGTTTAGAAATGTGTCTTCGCGCATGAAAGAGACCCTGCCTGCAGGAGACGGCTTCATGAGTATACGATCAGTGTAGCTTCTACGTGTACGACAGGCGCGGATCGACGTGAAGGAGTGCACCATGGTTTTGTCATGCGCGCATTACATCCTCAGGGGTACTTGCACACATTCCCTTGTTTTCTGGAGATAACGTGGCCTTGCCAATCTTGCAAAAAAATTGCGAAGCCTACCTCAATCGGAGAATGCCACAAGGTGCATTTGTTTGTGTGGAAATCACGGGTTCAAGGTTTCCACAACGCATGTGGACTCCGTTTTTTTGAGAAAGCTGGTAAATTTGAGCGAGCGCGGGTAATCGGGCGATTGCGTGGACGGACCTCTGTCCGTTGAAATCCTAGGCTGGCGGAGAGTGTTGACGAAGAGCAGCGGCATGTTCCGTACTCGAAAAGCGTTTATGGGGGCGAAGAACACTACTAATCAATCGGTTGTGAATGTAACGGTCGCCTCGGGCAGTGCCATGAAGGCACAGTTCAACTTCACGTGCACTCTTGAGCTTACCTTGGTTTCCGTGCCAGGGGCAGTTTTTCTGGAGACAGGAGGATGGACCTGCCCTCACCGCATCAAAATCTGCTTCACATTCTCTGAAACAAGGAATCACGTTCCCGCGAAAGATTTTCTCAGCTTTTCAACTTGGAGCTGTGTTGGATGATTTTCGCTCAAGGGTTGGTAGGACCAGGGCATCCATTGGCAAGTGCTCGCCATAGAACGGCCATTGCTGCTGACAGCAGTCTCCTGTAAGGCCCGCTTGCGGTTGTCACATGTGATTACCGTTCACATGCTTGACGGGCACGCAGAAGTGCACGCAGCATAGACTGAGCTCCACATGCTTGCACGCCAAAATCACGACTCTGGCAGCAAAGTTCGCTTCCCATGAGGCAGCTTTCAGGGGTGCAAGGAGGCTGCCCATGGCTGGGCGTCTCCATGGCCCTATGTTGGTCTCCGATCTCCAGTTGATCGACAGCCCAGAGCCCTTGAGATGGCCCAGCAGCCCAGGGATTTCAGGTTGACGGTGCAAATTGTTCACCCACGGACCAGCCCAGGTCGCCTCCTTTCGCAATATTTTGCAGAGCTTTGAATATGTACGGACAGTGGTCTCCACGCAGAATCGCGAAAGTACAGGTGCTTGTCGCGGACAAGTCCTGGCTGTCGGTGTTGCCGTGCTGAGCAGCATCTTCCATCATTGGCCCCTATTTGTACAACAGTTTGTACGCTATCCAAAGGCATCTTGAGCCACTCTGCCTCAACCCCCGGAACCTCAAAGTTAAGCCCATAGAGGCCAAGGGACCCTGTTGACCTTATCCCCAGCGGTTCAACCAGAACGAGATTTGATCGCTCACTTGACTCGTTTAACCTTCGATGCGGCCTTGACCGAGTGTTGTTGGCTTCAGGGAGGGTTTGGCGGCTTTAAGACCTTTAGGGCCAGACCCATCTCCAGTTGACCCATTCAGTTAGTGCCTTTCAATGCCGGGATGCCATACCGGCCATGCCCAAAAGTGAGAGCTCCAAAAAAGGACGCCAAGCAGCCTCGACATCACTGCCTCAAGGCAGATGCTGGACATGCTGGACATTGAGCCAGCAGCCTTAAGCAGCACTGCGTGCTCTGGGCCTCGAATTGTGTCGGCAGGCGGTCCGCAATATGAGGAACGTCAGCAAACGTCTGAGTCTCGAGGGTGCTTCTGGGACGTGTGTGTGCTGCTTCTTGCACCTGTTATTGTCCGCATCCCACCTAGCAGGCCAGACAACGCGAAGCGCAAAAGACGCTGAGCCGCGTGAGCAGCACAAACTACCCTTGGTTTCAAGGGACCCGAGAGAAAATCTGACGACTGGCAGCCATCAACTCCAACACGCCGCGCTTGCTGTACTGGTCACAGCAAGTCAAGTTTGCGCCACTACAGTACAGGGCCAAAATTCCAAGTCTGCAATTAGAAAATAAAAAACTGGTAAAGTGCCCCCCCCCCCCCCAGGTTTTTCTGCATTTGCTTGTCTCGTGCGAGTGATGCTCGCCTTTGCTCGCTGGCTGTGCTTTTGAGGCTCTCAACATAATTGCACAAGTTCATGAACTTGCACGTGTGGAAAATTGCACTTGCACCTGTGTTCCCCTCTGGCTGTTGCCCCTCCCAAAAAGCTCTCGTGTAGCAGAAGTGCTCTTTCCCGGCTCTACCTCTATGGTGACCCGTTGCTTCATCTCGTTTAGGCATGGCCAGGACCGATGGCTTGGGCTAGGCTTGGATTGGGTACAAGCCCAAACGTTTCCATAGAGCGTAATATGCCTTTTAGACGTTCCCTCTGCGCCCATTTCTGTTGCCTTGCTCTCCTGTGCTTCACGTGACTTTCCAATTCTTTCCAAGAGGCCTCTGGACATCCGCAAGAACCAAGAGAGAGACCTCTGTGTGCGACATCAAGTGATTGACCGAGTGCCATGTTCCTTTGGTGCCGCGTTAAAGGACAGACAACGAGCTGACCGGTCTGGTGCGAAAGAGGTTCAGAAGCTTCTCACATGTCTTCATCAGCCGCGTAAAATAAGGTTTTCTAGAAAGCCGCGTTCTGAAGCCATTTTGGAAGGCGTCAACGCTTTGCGGTTTCGGTTCGGTGCACAACATGTGCGCAACGACACCTTGGAGCGTTACATGTGGACCGTGCGGATCTGGATGGTGGAAACAATTGCGAAAACTGTGGCCACCTGTTGTTGTCTAGCGGCGCGGTTGTTGAAGCTTTCCTTGCAGGGTCGTGAGACATGTATGTTATAGCAAGAGGTATTGTAGCATGTTGTAGCAGTGTGCATCTCAGACCTGTTGGGCATTTTTCAGTGCTCTAAAACACTTGGGCAGAGCGCATCGCTTTCATTTTGTCCAGCATGTGTAGCTTTGCTCATAGCGCAGTCCGGGCTCAATCTAGCATGATTCGTGAAGTTGCCGCGTCGTGAGCACAAGCTGCTGGACTGAATTTTTCTTCAGCTTGCGTGAAATTGAAAGTTTACCCATCTGGACTCAGGTTTTCCGGCCAATGGCGCTACAGCTTCCCCAGGCCACGGGTTGCAGTCTTGAGAATCTTCTTGGCTTCATGTTGGGATGCAGGCTTTCCCCGCACGATTACCAGTCGTTCCCGCTGCCAAAGGTACACAGACATGTGCATGCACATGTGCATATGCCGTGTTGCACGCCATGTGCTCAGACGTGCTCTGGCAGCAGTTTTGCATTGTTGCAGGCATCAACCTTGAACAGGGATTTGCTCGGAGTTCAGGCTCGGACAAGAATGTGTGCTTTATGATCTGCCTGGCTGTGTCTCGCCATGTTCACGAAGGTTCAAGGCAAAGTACGTTTGATGGAAAAGCCCGGTGCCTGGAATGTAGCTGTAGACTTGTAGTACAATTCGACAAGGACAAGCCGGGGTTATCTATTTTGTGTGCATGTAGCTCATACGAAAGTGCCTTGTTGGTTGTGGTGATTCATTGATTTCTGTGGTTCAATGTCAAGCCTGATGTCGTGCCCTCACCGTTGTCCATCATATGGTGCCTTGACTTGTGCATCTACACTGATTCTGCAGACGCTGAATCTGGATCTTTCCAAGGAGTCCGTAGACGCCATCTTGTTGGCATGCCTTGGTGGTGTGCCATGCCAAGAGATGCCAAGCTATGCGTTCATGGAAGGGAGTTTCTTTAACATCTCTTGTAAAATGCGGGGCTCTAAGCTTCTCTCCAAGGTTTCGTGCCGGCTGGCCGCCAGAAGAGTCGGCCACAAAGGCCACGACATGTCGTTTGGAGCATGTGGAGTGTCATGAGATGTCATGAAAATCACGAAGTCAAAGTTAGAGTTGCCTGGCAAGAAGTCGGATGGCACAGCCTTTCGCGAGGCCGTGCACGCCGTGTTGCTCGATCAGCTGGCCTTTTGAACAACATCAAGGATGATGACCCTCGTGTTGATTCACCTGCGACTGCCATACTCTGCCATACTCCCATTTGCAGAGGACTTTTTTGCCAAGAATTTGGGCGAAGGAGGCGAAGCCGCGTGGTGTTTTTGGTGTGCCATGCAAAATCGAGAAAGAACTCTCGTTTGAACTCGCAATGCAACTCGCTTTGTCAGAGGCAAGAGCAATGGCAACCCAGATGCAGTCTTGGCCCGACAGATTTGCGACTTTCAGAATCTTTCAGACACTCGCGGGATTCTGATCGCCCTCTCAGGTTAGAATTCGGGTAAGTTCCGGAATGTCGCGCTTGCCTCGGTTTGGCTTGTGCCTGCGCATGTGGCCGAATTTGTATAGGTGTCTGATTTTGCTTGCAGTGTGCTGTGCTCACACGAGGATTGGGCAGCCATTCTGTGGTGAGTACGAGGACGGTCGCCCGAGTTTATGTGGACAAGGACAATGTAAATGAAGTAGTCCATGCTATGTCTTGAAGGACAGCCCCACTAGAGTTTGGAACCAGATCTTCGCAATGCGACAGACCTCCCCCCCGTTTAAGCTATGAGGGCAGAGGTTCATGATCAATTTGTTGGCTCAGACTAATGCGCAGTCCTTAAACTTTAGACATGTTGGAGTGGTTTGGGATCCTTTCGCAGGAGCAAGCACAGCAGTGCAACGGGCGCCCGGTGTACATGAAGCTCGGGCTTCCCGCGAACAGCCAGGCCACTGGAGACCTCAAAAGCACTTGCAGGATCTGTCAGTGTTTGTCATTTTTCCGCCAGGCCGTTTACCTGCTGTACAATGAAGCCAACCAGTGGGACACAACCTCAAGCTCTGCTCCACGCTTGAAGTGTGTTTTAATGTCGGCAACTGACCAGACTTAGGCATTTACACCCCACGCAGACGGACGGCCCGACGGTTGGGCCTTTGTTACGGATCCGGTTTCTGGCTGAGGCTTTCTGTTGCCAGGTTCCGGCAGTGTCGTGTCATTGGGCATTCACTAAAGGCGCTGGATCCACCGACGATTGCGGGGACTTTCAGCATCTGGGTCGGCCCCTTACCCTGACAGCCCGCTATTCTGCCATTCTTCATCCACAAGGAACATGTTGAGTGCTCTTGTTTCTATGTGGAGGGTCGGATATTGGAAGCGAGTGTGGCAGAGTTGGAGAGTTCATGAGGAACCGGGATGTAAGGGCCCCTACCTTCCCCAATAAGGCCTCTTGTCAGCCACAACTCTTGGTAAGGGAGAGCTTGGTTCACTTGGTTCACTACTCCGAACTCTGTGGGATGGCAGACAAAGAGCTTTCGTTAAAAGATTCGTCTCACAGCGCTGGGTATCAAACCAGATCCTAGATTTTTTCTTGCTCCAACTTGCTGTGGAATATCACCAGGCCAAAATCGCTGTGGCAACATCAAGCAAGCCCCAATCATTCAAGGCCCCGTCATTGCACTTAAGACCTGCCAAAGCAGTGCGCTGTCTCCTAAAGAAACTGTACGATCAAGTTGTCTGTCTGCCGAGCAAATATGTCGGAACCATACTCAGTATAGTTGTTTCCATGGCCCGCATATTCTCTCTTCAGGGGCGTGCTCCTGGACGTTATTAAGTGCGACGGACTTCGAGGAACCTCGAAGAACGCAAGATGCCATAGGAAGCTGATCTTCTGATACGCAGCACAACATTCGGCATGGATGCTTGCTGAACGCGGCATGTTTTGAGCCAAAGCCTTGTGTAGCACTTGCGGTCTCTCACGCCCTGTTTAAGGATGGTTCTGAGTGGGTGCCTGACACCACTTTGAAGTTGCCGGAGTCTCAGGAAAAAGCCGGGCGCAAGTAGGTACAGCCAGGCAGAGCCATTCACAGCGGCATGTAGCAGCTCCTCAGCAGATGAGTGCAGGCTGGCACCTGGCCAAGTCCCAGTGCAGGAAGAAGCTGCCGAGGTTGAGGTCTCGCTTTTTTTTTTAAAGGCTTTGCAGCGTGCCCTTGCTGCGTCTATGCGAGTGTATCCACACTTGTGTGTTTGTGTTTGAGTCCCTGTGGTTAGGTCATCAAGCAACCCTCGGGATTGCAGGACACGGGCAACAACATGCAACAATTTGGATAGTTTTAGGCCTAGAGAATGGAACTTGCAAGCCAGACCTTCTGGCAGGATATCATTGAGCAACCGGATGTGGCAGAGCCGGTGACTGTGCAGACTGCGACACTTCCGGATAAGGTCGGGTCCTCAGCTGCACAGCCAGCAGCCTTGACGAACATTGCCTCTGAAGGTCAAGAATTTGAGCTTGCTCCACTGGAAGTCTCATTGGAATGCGTCCCAGTTCGATGCTTACAGAGCGACTTCGGTTCAAGCTATCGCCAAAGTTCAAAAAAGCCTTAGGCGCTGTCTGATCAAGTGGCCAGAAGGACCGCCAGGTCTGGAAAAGTCCGGAGCTCTGCGAGGGCGCACTGGAATGAGCCAAGGGTCCAGCCCACATTTTGATTCTTTAGGAAGCTGCTGCCATCTCATCCCGGTGTACGTTCCTCTGGCCTAATTGCAATACTTGTAGCATAGAATAGCCTTTCCCACTAGTTCAAGATCTACCTCCATGGCATGCGCACATGGCAGGCCGGGGTGTGCTTCCCAACGGCCTGAGCGGCGGCCCAAGCGCCTGCCTTCTCGTGATAGCATTGTTTGCCTACGTGCTTTGATGTCTCAGGATATGTGCTGCTTCGAAACGCCATGCCGCCAAAGCGCTTCGAGGCAGGGCGAGCCAAAACACAACTTCCGGAAGCTCGGGCCAGTGTGCTGCGCATGCTCTGCGACAGTGTTGTAGGCTAAGTTGTAGCAGTTGGACAGCCACATGGTTTCCCGAATTTTGTTGGGCTTGGGGGTGTGCGGGGTTGGGATGGGTTCGGCAGGATGCGCACAAATCACTGGTATTCACAACGACTTTCCCTCTCCGTACAGCATCTGCACGATGTGGAACAAGACGCGCTGTCACCAGCGCATATGCCTTTGGCGAACATGATGTAGACACTGGTATCTACTGCGATTTTGCTACTTCGATCAGTCTGTATGTTTGGGGCAGATGTGGGGCTGCTGTGTTTTGCTTCTTTGGACAACATGCTGCACAAAGATGTTTGACATTTCTGGAACAAGACACGCTTATAGCATCTTATAGCGTTTTGTTTCTTATTACAACATACGGCAGTAATCGACCAAGTCTTGGGGGTTTCCCACCGTTGTAAACAGCCTTTCCATACAACAGACTCCGAATCCATTGTAAGTTCAATGACGCTGTAAACTGCCTATGTGCTCAATGATGGCATACGAGTAAAACCTCATTGTTCTGGGTGCGCCGTGGAATGTACTTGCCAATGAGTTGCATGACTTGCAGAGGCGCACATCGAACTGCATGTGGGAAGCATAGACGAGGAGCCGAGACCAGCAGCATGCATTTCTTCGAATCTTGTCGGTGAAGCTGTCTTTTGTCTGAACCCATTTTGTTGGTGCTAGAGAGCTGTGCCTTTCTTCCGGCACTGACGAACGACAGGATCCAGATGAGCAGGGTATTGCTCACATGATGGAGCATGTTTGCTTCCTGGGCAGCCGCAAGCGTGATTTTCTCAGCTGCCCTGCAACAGGGGAAGCGCTTGTGCATCCTTCGTTGCGAGGTGAAAGATTGATTGGGACCGGGTCTCGATCCAACGCATTGACAGACTTCCAGAAGCTTGGCTGTTGAGTGGGTGTTGATTGGCGCGCATTGAGTCATCCAGTGTCGCATTCTGTGCGGGCAAATAGACCGCACGATGCCGTGCCTTCAGGCACACCATCTACCACATCCACGCTCCTGTAAAGATGGAAGATGGCCGGTCCATGTACCCCTTGGCATTGGAGGCCAGAAGGTGGTTTCTCTTCCCACTGGTCCGTTCGGATATGTTCGGATGGCGTATGCGGTATGCACAAGTTTATGCACAAGTTATGCACGCATCATCTTTTTTCAACATGTCGGAGTGTAGCCTCTCCCATTGCGAGGCCCTGAGTGAGATCGCCTTTGGCCCCGAAATGCTGAATCATCGCATTGAGAAGGAGCGCAAGGTCAGCCAGGGTCAGTGGATGCATACGACTTTTCAGAATTCTGAATAGTTGTGGAACAGCGCACAGGCAGCTAGGAAGCAAAAAACCTTCGATTGGTAAGGCTGTGTTGGCGGAGATGCAACAGGTCAATGCCCGGACCCATGCCTGTCGCTGCGCCAAGTTCAGTTCTCAACAAATGAGCGCTGAGGACATGGAGTACCGTATCGAGACGTGGACGCTCTCGGGCTTGCATGAAACCAACAAGCTCGGCTCGTGCAGCCCTCAGCTATGCGGGACCGGTCTAGCACACGTGGCAATTCCTGCGGGCTCTTTCCTGTTTCAAGGCAGTTTCCAATTGGAAAAGAGGAGCAAATCAAGGCCTGGCAGCAGAAGGACCTGCTGCTAGGTACTGGCTGCCTGCCCATGATCTGCTGACTGTCCAAGTAACTCTTTGGAGGACCTTCGAAACTTCCATGAGAAGTGGTACTACCCCGGAAATGCAACACTCTATGCCGACGTCCCAAGAGTTCCATAGCCAACTTGCATTGAGCCTCAAGCTGGAATCTTGCATGGAGAGGTCGTGGGAGACTTGGATGAGACAGAAATGATGGAGGGTATCAGAAAGGCTTGGCACGTGTTGAAGCCATCATCAAGACACAAGTATGTGGACAATAGGAGCCCTGCAAAGGTGTTTGAGCCAGCCCAACCGAGACACAAGTTCTTGCCTCAGTTCAAGGGCTGCTATTCCTTCGTGGATTTCGTGCACCTTTTCAAGAAGGAAGGAACTGCCAACGTGCTGAGGCCTTCCCCGGACTCTGCCATCATGGACCCTGTCTGGGGCGAGGTGCAAGTAACTGCAAGTAGCTGGCTGGTCAATGAGTGGGCATCTGCTGATGCCAGCCGAGGAGTCGGCCGATTCACGATCCTTGTTTCGGCGTCGCATTGCCCGGCACCGACCAGAGCAGCTCCACAACTTCAGCTGGGGCCTCGATTCGCGACATTCGCGACCACGAACACCTCGTCCCTTCTACTTATCTCCGTGCTGTGCGCCGGTGTGCCTCCCACCTGAAAGGTCTGCCGATGATCGGCACAAATGATGTTTTCACGAAGGTGCGCTCGATTCCTTAATCCATCTTGTCTTAAGTGCCGGGTGTTCAGTCGTTGGAACAAGGGATGCATGCACACAAGAGTGTGCCTCCATGATCTGCAATGCTCATTGCGGCTGCGGGCCTTTCCAGCTTTGCTTTTCCTTTTCAACCTCGGCTCAAGCCTTAGCACCACCACGTGGCGAGCCAGGCCAGCCTGGGTGTGCAAGTTGGTGCATTGGTACCGCGACTTGAGCCAAGAGAGCCAGGCCAGTTTGCCATGGCGAAGATAATCTATACACACACTGATGAAGCGCCAATGCTGGCGACCTATTCCCTCTTGCCGATCATCCAGGCCGCGGTGTGCAGCTAGCTCATCATAGCTCATCATAGCTCATCATAGCTCATCATAGCTTATCCCTCTGGTTTTTTTAAGGTATCAGAGTATGTCATAGGCTTCGAGAGCTCGCTAAGGGCATTGGCTGCATTGTGATGTCTTGTTTGAAGGCAATGGTGAGGTCATCCAATGTCAGGGTGGAGACGTCGGACATTTCCGTGGCAGCGAGGACGGACTGGAAAACTCACGGATCATTTCTGCAATGCATACTGGTGGAAGGATCATCGCCCTATTCCCTGACAAGTTGCGCCCACAACAGAGATTGCGGGATGCGTTGTCAGATCTCGGCAAGCTTTGTCAGAAACCGGAGGTGGAACTGCGGGTTCTGCTTTGCTGCATTTCTTGAAGAGTCTTGACAAGTTTGCACGCAAGTTGACACGCAAGTTTCAAGAGGCCAACATCATCAAGCTGCCGAACGTCAGTGCTTCAGTGCCGCAGCTGAAGGTGCGGGTTCGGACATGAAGGGTCACTGCCACGCCTGCAGAGTTGTTTTGCACGGATCTTTTTGTATCACTGGTAGCAATGGCCTCGATCAGGAAGCCATCAAAGAGCTTCAGGGTCAAGGTTACGGCATTCCAGTGGCCTGGTGCAAGTTGTGGAAGGCGCTGGCGGCATCTGGCGGCCAATGCAAACTCTCCAGCCCAGGACTATCCTGAAGATCCGAAGGATGATGCGGAGAAAAAGATTCAAGAGAAGTACAAGAAGGCCGCCGCATTGCATCTTGCGGCGCCGTTCTGAGCATGTTGGTGCTGCAGGTCCTGGGGAGCGCGGTGAATCCAGTCCTGCGCGAGGCCTGTCACCGCTTGACTTGGCCTTGCGAGCACTGTGACAAGTTGCGACAAGTTGCGACAAGTTGCGACAAGTTGTCGAAGATTCAGTGCCACTGTAAGTACGAAGAAGCCTCCGCTGGGAGGGAAACTCGGACCGACGAGCTGCATCGAGCGTGAAGAACTATGCCAAGAAGCATCCTCACAGGAGTGCCGTGTTGTGTGGAGTGCGCTGTGCGGAAAGTGCATGTAGTGGCATCAGAGTTGCTGTATGATTGGAACAAATGATTTGCAGGATGGGTGCTTGGAGTGCGGACTCCAAGACTCATGTGGCCTCTATGACAGAGGGTGGGACGCTTTTGAGCTGAGTTGAGCTGTGTTGAACTGTTTGAGCTGAGTTGAGCTTAGTTGATCTGAGTTGAGCTGAATTGAGCTGAGTCGAGCTACCACCTTTCTTTTTTTGTCGGGTTGTTTCCATTCCCAAAGTGATTTTGACATGGGAGGTGACTTCTTCGGAAGTGAGCAGTCAGTGACGCTCGAGAACGACACGGAAGTCTGCAGCTCAGCCCGTGGTTTCCCGTGAATTCCTGTGGGTGAATGGGGATTTTGGTGCTTCTTGCAATAAGATCACGTGAACGGTTAGTGAGATTCTCCGAGGCCAAAATCGTCTTCGAGTCCGACGGAGGGTCCACCACGACCTTGAAGGCTGCCCGGATGCGACTTCCTGCAGCTTGAACCTGTATGCTTGCGGGGCTGCCTTTCGAGAGCTTGGGGGGCTCATGACGGGTTGTGCGAGGAGAAGCTTCCATTGGTAAAGGGTGAGATCCTGGACGCGGCTGCCATGTCCACTGTCAAGCTGGAAGAGTATTTGGAGAAGGACCGTTGAAGTCGCTTTAGAGCTTCCCGAGAATTCCTTCTTTCGCTACACTCTGGCGAGGAAATCAACGATGCCAAAGCCAAGGATGTGATGCTGTCCCTGCACTTGAAGGCCACCATGATGAAGGCCGCCTCGCAAACTTTTCAGTAGAGGTTCTTCAGAATGCTTTAGCTTGCTCGCGTATGACGTTTCATGAAAACTCAGAGTGAGAGCAGTGGGAGTGCCCCCTCAGATCTCGGATCCGATCCTGTTCGGGCATGTTGTGAGCATCTACTTCAAGGATGTATTCGTGACCTGTTTGAAGAAGTTGCCACTCATTCTAATCACTCTGACATGATGCAAGTGGCTTGGTCCAAGGCAAAGTACGAGGCGGAGTTCAAGTCTCTGGGTGTGAACCCAAATTTCGGCTTGGATGACCTCTACAAGAACCTGGGCTTCAACTCGGAAGCGAGGGCGTCGTAGCGCTTTCATAGGGTAGTCCATTTTTTGGCATGAAAGCCTTCCTTGTGCTTGATCCAGTCCGTGCCCACTCCTTTGAAAATTGCGGGTCTCCATCCAGGAAGCTGGAGAAAAGTGACAAGAAGGCTGAGATTGAGGCGGCCATCATGGACACATACAAGGCGCAGTGACATTGGTAGCCGACGATCACGAGAGGACCAGCAGTTGTTGTCAGGTGCAGCCTCGGCTGGCCATGGTGAATTCAGACAAGGGACTCTTGGAAGCTTGGAAGTTCAACGTTTTCCATTGAAATACCGCAAAACAGGGTTCCACATGCAAAGAAGCAAGCTGACGGCTAACGTGTTGTGGCCTCCACCATTTTTCAGCATGTTGAGGAATTACGAACTTGCACGTGTCCAGCAATGCCTCCGGGCTGCAACAATGCGATGCTGCAGCCACGTAGCTGGTGTTGCGATGGAGTCCGCAGGTAATCATTGACGCATCCATGCCAGCCATGATCAGAGATGGCGGCAAGATGTGGAACAAGGAGAGATGTAAGTGCTTCACGCTTTGCTCGGTAAAGCACATGCTTTGACAGGACAACAAGCTGGAAGACACAAAGTGCCTTATTCCAGACCGTTGCTATGCAGGCGTGTTCCAGACTGTCATCGCCACCTGGCTGCCGCGAGTGAACGACGACGAGTGAGTGCAAAGTGACCAATATTGCAAGTTATTTGCAGATTCTTAAATCAAATTGCAGTTTTATGAAATAGCGCTTGTCAGCCTCGGCCGTCCCCGTGTTGTCAGTCGGAGAGGGCAGTCGGGTGGCAGTATCCAGAGGCAGGAAGGCAAAGACAAGGGGGCTGGTCTCAAGAAAGCCTTAAACTAGTGTCAGAACAAGCGGAGACATGCGTCCTTCATGTAGAAAGGAAGGATAAGAGAAAGAAAGTCAACGCAATTGATGTCTGGGAAATGTACGGCTGGGAAAGTATATCTTCTGGTTGGCAATGAGCAGAACCGTTATGTAGATGCCGGTATCTCACTCGGAAATGTTGGCTTGCATGTTGAAGCATGTTTAACCTTTAAACGTTGGTTCAAGTAGCATTGTCACATGAAGCTGGCGAAACCACTCTTGAGCCTATCCCCTCAGACTCATGCTCTCGTGTCTGTGGCTACGAAGGTGTGGGGAGGGAGAAAAGAGGACCGGACACTTGTTTCTCTTCGTGGGCAAGAGAGAACAAGCACCGTTAGGACAACCCAAACATAGACAATGTGTCAGATGCAACGAACCAGTGCTTTCGGAATTCAGCTTCAGAAATTGTCAGTTGTTGTTTGAGATAGTTTTTGAGGGCGATTTTCGATGTCATATAACATCGCCACCCAATGCGTGCTTTGCCATCAAGCTTTCGGGATTTGGGGCCCGAAGGGCGGCCTTCGGGGTTATTCCATGAGTGTCAACTTGATGTGGAGTCCGGAGCTGCCAAGGAATTTTGCAAAAAGAATGGAGCTTTCAACCCAAGTACCATGGGTACAGAGACTTGGTTGCAAGGATCCGACAACGCCGCGACAATGCGACCCGCACGTGTAAAAATGGGTCTAATTTCAGCTTGCATGTCGGCAAAGGTTCCCAATGTCGGGTTGATGGCCCAGAAGGCGGAGGAGTGACCCTCTTGACCCTCTCCAAACACCCCTCCATTCTTCAATTCGAGACAGCGTGGGTCATCTAAAGCTGAGCTCAGCTGAGATGTGAGTACCTTCTTGGATGTACACTGGCGATAATCGTGGCCGACATGTGGCGCACAAGGTACGGGTCTCACGACAAAACCTTCGAGATGAAAGAGCCTGGCACTGTCGTTGTCTCAAGGGGATCCAAAAGGGGTGTTTGTGTCAAGTGCGATGTATTGCCAGTTCCCTTTCAGGTCAAGGTCGTTGACTCTGCTGGGAAGGTCTTGCTGCAGACCAAGGCCATGTTGTAGCTCGAGATTTGTGCGAGATTTGTGCGTGCCCTGCGCGGGCCTTCTCAGGTGGGAGCTGGGGACATCTGGCGTGCCTGCCAGACCAAGGACATTGCCATCAAGGAGTGCTGGATTAGATGTGGAGGTTTGCCTTTAAGTGGCGCAGCGAAAAGAAAATTTCTCAGAAAGCTCAGCTGGGCGCAAAGGACTGGGTTAAGCTGGCCGTCACTCGGGCCAAAGCCTCGAGCACCCCAGCCATCTTCTGGTTGAACAAGGCCAGCATGGCTTGACTCGCTTTAGCTCTTATCGTTCTTTATCCTCCGCTCCGTGAGTCTGGGCAGGACCGAGCGCATGATGCACAGCTGCTGAAGAAGGCAAGCGGGTCGCCAAGCGTGTAGTGGTTGGAGCAAACGAGTTGATTGCAAGCGAAAGCGACAACAATCAGCAGAGTTGCGTTGCTGGTCAACCTGAGTCAACCCTGATAGGTGGAAACGTACTTGAAGGACCACGACACTTCGGGCTTGGAGATTAGCATCAAGACGCCGGAGGAGGCATGTGTAGCACATGTGTAAAAGAAGCACGTGGTCGGAACATTTCTTCAAATTGCGAAGATCAAAGGCTTGCTTGGAGTCATTGCAGAGGGCCAAGGAGGGAAAGGCGGGTGAATGCGGGTGTATGTGAGCGATCGGATGGCTCATAGCACACAGCTCGGTCAACCTAAGTGTTCAGGACACCATCTCAGTGACGGGAGGCTTATCTGCAATCGAAGCCGTCTCTGTATGTATTTACGTCCGTCATGACCATGCGAGCTGGGCATGCAGAATGACGATGTCAAGCTGAGGCAATGTTCTGAGAGACTACAACACAGATCTTTTCCCAATCCTGGAGCTAAACACCAGTGTCAGTTGCTTAGTGTTGTACTGTGCAAGCTTACCATGTTCACCGCATCTTAGCATACTGCTGCATCAGGCCAAGATGCTCTCGATCGTGCCCATGCTGGCTGGCGGTGGCATGTATGTGACTTGGCCCAGACGTCCGCGAGCTTTTCGAAAACCCATGAAGACATTTTGCTGCGATGCCTTTTGTGGGTTTTGAACGGGAGCCCGAGGAAACCGGAGCTGGTGGATCTGCTCCGAAGCACGTGGAACAGCACCCTGGTTGGATTTGGCCCTGTTGTTCTGTAAACTGTAGTGGTGGCTTATAGTGGCTTCGCCCAATCCCAGGTTTGACCGGCGGTTTTTGTTTTAGGCGTCTTTTGGCACAACTTGAAAATGCTGATTCAGGCAGTTTCGGCCCTCGTGTCAAGTCTTTTTCCTCCATGGTGTGGACAGTTCGTTTTTGTCCGGTGATATCAGAACTTCTTCTGGGACGCCTCGGCAACTTGACACCCAGGTTTGTCGAAGAGGGGCATCTGCGTGACATTCTTAGCAGATTCAGATACTCCGTGCGTTCGTGGTTGCATGATGTCAGTATTCAGAGGCTGGGACTCCTTGGGCGAGTTCCTTGCCCTGGAGCCTTCACTCATGGACATTGGAACCAAGGGGGAGAACAAGAAGGCCAGGCCCAGTCGTCGCACGTCGGAGGACGTGGGTAGGCTTGCAAGCGTCGAGCTGTCTCTAAGGCGGTGGTGCTGTCCAAGGCTCCGGGTCCGGAAGTTGCCCAAGCCCCGTGAAGTCCCATGAAGTTGCCCTTGAAGCGAGTTGCGAGGCGCTTGGCGTGGCCATCGAGAAGTTCCTGGAAGAGAACAAGTCCCCCTCGCGCAAGGCTGCTTCCATGGTTGGCGTTTTGGCGTTTTTGCGTGCATCCTTGCGGATTGAAGCTCATCGAACATCATCGAAGACCATCCATCAAGCCCGAGCCTACTCTAAAAAGGTCAACGAGATCGACAATCGTGGCAGTCTGCAGCCAAGTGGGTTTGTGCTACGGGCTTGAGCCTTTTTGCGGTTTGATTTGTTGGGAAGTGACATCCGTGTTCCAGGCCACTTCTGGCTATGCCTGTACTGGGTGGAGGCCCTTGCCAATCAGGACGATGACGAGCAGCTGAAGGCAAGCAGCTTGGTACAGCGTGTCAAGCGCAGTTACTCATTTTTGCATTTTTGGCCCTGATCAGGCTCAATTTGCAGCAGGCTTGGCCAAGCTGAAGGAAAGCGAGGCGAAGATCGTCGAGGCTGCTCTGCACTGATGTGCATTCTGGCTCAGCGGAGTCTCACAAACGTCGCATTCAGGACCTGGTCAAGTGCCAGGGCAAGCCAGCGGACATTGGTGGTCCCTGGGCACAGTTCAGTGGCATCTGCGTGTTTCTGTTGTCCTTATTTCCGCGTGGTTGGCGGCTTCTGACGTTTGTGCTGCATGGTGCCGTGCTCAGGCTACTATCATCCGGATCCACGTAAATGCCGTGGTTTGCTCGCGCTTGATGGTGTTGTGGCACTGCTTGTCCTGCTAATGAAAAAGTACGTGCAGAAACCACCTTTTGGTTGTTCGTCCCAGGTGTTGCCATGCGACCAAGTGATACGTTCAACCGAGCCTTGTTCATCAATTGCTCTGAGCTCCTTCTATTGTTACAACTCCTTCTGTGTGTTTTCAAAGCCGTGAACAGGAACTCTGAACTACATCATGCACTGGAAGCCGCTGCGCAAGCCAACGTTCTCCAAGGTGGAGAAGGCTCAATGAATCTCAATGAGTTCGAGGCCCAGACTTTCTCCGGACATGTCTGCACCTGCCTCTGCAGATCGAGCCGGAGCAGCGCGGAGTGAACCTGATGCTGCACCTCGGCGGCGTTTGCTTTCGGCTTGCGGCTTGTTTCCACTTGGAGTGTCTTGCAGCGACCAGACGCCCCTGTCACTGCTTCAAGGAAGTGCTTGTCTTGCTCCGAGACAAAGGCAGAAGGCAACACCTCAGGCCACCCGAAAGGGAAGCGAGTGTGAGCCTTTGTGAGCACCGGTGCGAACGAGTGAGGTGTGAGGCAGGTGTGAGCGGAGTTGCAGCTTCACTGTCTAGATATTGCCTTTGATTCTGCTTGATTGACCGGGTTCTTCGACTCTGTGCAGGCTTGAGGATTTGGGAAGCAAAATGTGGGGACGACACCGCCGCCATAACTCTGTCGATTCGCAGCGAAGACATTGCCGAGGTACTTGTCTGACCTGTCCCTTCTCTTAGTGTCGTGGGAGACTGCACTGGCCTTGACATCCTGGGTGTTGCGGCCAGACTCGCGGCCAGGTGTGCAAACCAGGCGCATCACTAAGACTGCAGAATGCAAAGGTGCGGCGCTCGGGCCTGAAGGCTGCAGCAAAGAGCACATCAAAAGCACTCCAAACACTCAAAGCACTTTGCATGGCACTGCGCAAACGGGGGTCCATGGTCTTATACTTCTTGTTATTGAAAGACTGTTGTCAGGTTGTGATGGTCAAAGGCTTCATCCGATTAAACGTGGACAAGTGGGCTGCGCCTCGGCGAGTGTGAGAAGATGTGTAACGGGGACGGTGGGCAAACGATGGCAAATGCTGGATTGTCGTGCAAACTTTTTTGCCGAGCTTTCTCTTGAGGTACTGAAGCCTGCGGACACGCCTCTGGAATTTGAGGTGAGCACAAAGAGCCTGTGGCTGCTTTATCATATGCTGCGGGAGCGCATGAGACACCCCGCAACCTTGCGAATTTCCGAGGAATGACATTTCTGGTGTGGAATATGAGCTCACAGCCGCCTAGGAGTGTCCTCGGCCGGCGAATGTGACGTGTGCTGCAATGCGCGGTGGGTGGCCAGAAGTCGGCCCGAGTCGGCCCTGCCAGCTCCACAGCACAAAACACGACAAAGCGCAACGTGCCTGTGGACCATTGGTCCTTGCGCGAAATTATTTGCCGTGAGATTTTGGTCTTTTGATCTTGTGGCCCACAGCCACCTTGGTGGCATTTGGTGGCATTTGGTGGCATTTGGTGGCCTTGTGTATCCGTGTGTGGCAACTGCGTATTGCTGCGGAGTGCTGCGGAGCATGTCGGAGCCAGATCGTCGCGTGCGTTTCGTTGACCCATTGCTCAGCCACGGAAATCTCGTGGGGGTTGGGCCGTGGTCCGAGGAAGGCTTAACCTGACAACTCTCGCAAACAGTGGCAATCTAGAATGTCCGGAAAATATATACACATGTTTTTCGCTGGGTTGAGTGCAGTTCTTGTGTACGCTAAACTACACATTGCTGAGTAAAGCCACGGACGGCGGCAGTACACGTTTCAGTTCCTGAAATGTAATAGCTCATGCCACGATTGCAGGCTTCCTCCAACGTGCTCGGGTTCAATTGTTTAAACAGCTGCCATATATGTTTCCGGATACTGCCACCAGAGGCGAGAAATCAACACAAGCCGGCGTGCTTGCAAGCAACCATGAGATGCTGTAGCGTTCTGTGATGTTCAGTCTCTGTTGTCAGGCTGCAGCCTTTGACCCTGAGAACGGTGGCAAGTGTAGTCCTTAGCATGGGCCACTTGCATCCATGGCCTCGTAATGCCTCGTACAAAGCATCTTGGCACGTGCCCGTCCCCGAGGCCCTGGCACGGACCTTTGCGAATTTTCCGGAACGAGTTGCTGGAGGGTCTGCAGGCGCTCGGTAGGTACACCCACACTTTGCATGCCAGCAACGCTCCCGGCACAGCTCAACTTCTATGCGAAGACACCTGTACGCCCTCTGCGGACGTACGAGGACATGCAATTCTTGTGTCAGTTTGTGTCTGCTGAGCCACGGAGAACAACAAATCTGGACTGAGGACATCCGCAACCTCATCGCCGTCCGAATCCTTGTGGGTCGGCTCTCGGCGTTCTGATTGCGTTTGCAAACTACAAGAGCTCTTCATTTTTGCACGGCTTTGCCAAAATTGGCTTTGCTTTCCAAAACACCTCTCGGCACCTCTTCTTGCTCAGAGGTGTCCTGCAGTTTCGCATCGTCTCACGCTACTCTTCGAACCATGCTGGGGCCTTGGGGAGAGAAGCAGACCCGGGGGGAAGGGAAGGGCACACAGAAGGGAAGGACAGACGCGATGCGATGCGATGCGATGCGACGTGACTTGTGCCGATTCAGAGGCGCCGGTACAGATCGATCACAGCGACTCTTTCCGTGAAGGCTGCGCTGCCTGGGGCCGAGCCTGTGACTACTCAGAGACTAGTGACTAGACAGAGACCAGAAAAGTTTGAATCTCGACAGAAGACCAGCCTTAGCATTGTTCGAGGCATGAGGCAACGTCCCAGCAATTGTCGTGAGGTGACCTCCATCACGGTCAATGCGGATCCTCGGGACTGGCGCAATGCTCTGGCTTGCGTCCTTCAAGAGGCATGACTTTGGCAGATTGTCTTGGGATACATCATCTTTGTTACAGGGGGAGGGAGTTGGAGATTTTACCTTCAGCATAGCATGTTCGGCATATTATGGGCCCAGGGGTTTGCAGGTGCGTGAAGGCCGCATCACAGCGCCTCAGCGCTTAAAGTGTTTTGGAGCATTGGGAGCGTTTAGACAAGTTTAGACGTTGAGAGTATCCAGGAAGCTGCCTGGGCCAAAGTGAGCTGAGCTTCAAACTTATTAAAATTCCAACCCCATGGCCTGGCTCCTCCACTCGTCTCATTCTCGTCTCATTCTTTTGTAAGTCGCAGATCCGAGCGATTTGTGACTATGGCATCACGGAGAGTGAGATGAAGCGGTACATGGACGCGATGCTGAAGGACACCTGCTGTTCGTCGTCACTCGACAAGCATGCTCGACGACCTAGAGCCGGAAGCTATGCCAAGATCCCCAAAATCGGCCCCTGGACAAAGTTATCACTTCCATAGTAATCTCAGGTTAGATGTGCAGTTGTCCATCCTGCGATAGAGCTTACCCCGAAATCTGTCGAAAGCCAAACCTCAACTAAGTCAGCCTTCCTCCGCTCCAGGACGTGCAGAAAGGTGTGCAGGAAAATGATACGGTGCCCTCAGAAGTCCCATGCTCATGTGACAACCGAGTCAATTGACAATACATCGAGCTGGTCCTTTTGAGAGAAGCACCTCTGAGGATCATTTAGCTGCTAACGCGAAGCCGCCTCGGCAAGGGTACCGAGACGAATTCACGGTTCACGAGAGGTGGGGTCGAGGGTGCGGCAAGACGCTGTAGGAGACTGAAGAGAGGGGGTGGGTTAGAGCAGGCAAAGGTCCACAAAGAGTTGGGGGGTGGGGCTGGTCCAGGGGGGGGGGTACCTATTCCGCGCAATCGCCCGCGCACTTGGCTGCGCCCTGGGAGGGGTACGGGGTGGTTACGACTATGAAAAGTTGGACCGAAACGCCTCAAGCCTCCGGCCTGGGCGGATTTCAACTTCAGTGAGAGAAGCACCTCTGAGGATCATCTCAACTTCATCATGACCAGTGACGTGTTTGACCATGCAGAGAGCTCGGGATTTTGTTCTTGGAGTGTATGGGTGTATGCATTCAGTCAAGGTCGTCATGCATCCAGAGCAGTCCTATGCTGCTTTCAAGGAGGCGCATCAACATGCCATGTTCACTTGGTTCGTCTTTAAGCGCTGGTTCAGGTAGCTCCGACAGTGACAATGGAGCAGGCCGGTTGAGACAATTGACAGCGTCTGGATTGAGATGTCGTTCTTCTTGTTCCGGATGCGTTCACGCCTGTCTCGTTTGTTTCGGGTTGCGCCAGTGCAGATAGTTGTCCACAACTCGTGCTTGCAGTGTTTGCAGATGGTGCAGGTCCACGCAACAGCAAAGTGGATGCTTGGTTTCATCGGCTACTACGGCTTCGCTTCGGCACCTCCAGTGACGGCTATTGTTGTGTGCGGGCCTTTAGAGAAGTTGACAGGAAATGGGTATGCACGATTTGTTCTGTAGCACAGTGCAGCCTAGGTGCACACCTACGCAAGTATACGAGGACTGTTTTGCTGGTACTTGTAAAGATTTGGTGTGCTGCTTTCCGACACAACGTGCACAGGAGCACACTGGGAAATGGGCCGGATGCATATGACTATGATGCTTCGCTCCTCGTGTGGAACGCAGTTTCTTGCATGGTCGCTAGAGGTTCCCTTCAGCATTACCGAGCAGGAGATCATAGAGCTGCTTATATCAGTACTGTCCTAAAACTGGCAGCATGGCATCAGATTCATTTTTGTTGGCGCATTGCCTTGATGCGCCACCTGTGTTGTTAAGATGTGTGCTTCGCCAGAGCTGGAGTTCGAAGGTGCCTGACAAGACCAAAGAAGAAGCACTGAATCAGGCAAAGCGGCTTTTGAATTCTACCTTGGAGTATGAATTCTGAATGCTTGAGCATGATGAGGTGGACGTTCCGGAAAACCTTTTGGAAGGCCTCTGTGCGCATGTCACGATCGGTGTGGCAAGCAGTGCGGAGAGGGAGAGAGAAGAATAGAGATGAACAAGCCCCAACGAAAGAAATAACAATAGTGCCTGTAGCAGTTGCTTGAGAAAACGTTTCTGCCTACCACGCGAGTGCTTGTCTCTTCACAGTGGAGAGCTCCTGTGTCAATGTGCTCGAGTGATCTCGAGTGTGTTTTCAAGCGTGATTTTGGAAGGAGCAAAGTTAGAGAAGCTGCTGCCGCCAAGTCCTGTTGATGCCGTGGGCTTGGGTCGCTCTGTTCGTCTATTCGGGGTCCAACCATCGCTGTGCTGCAAGAGCCAGTGTGCAGAACATCCAAAGATATGTCTATTCGCGGTCCAACCATCGCTGCAACCGGACGTGTCGAAGGCTATGACAGCATGGAGAGCTGCTTCGCGAAAGGCCCCGTCTGGGGCTGCCTATCTGAGGAAGCGGCTGATGAGTCAATGTGTGCTGCTGCAGTGTCAACACGTGGCTGCAGGTAGATGATGCCACAGGAATCGTGCAGCTCATGCTGCCGAATGGGGCGCGTGTGCCCTTTGCATGACTGAAGCTATTGCTTGATGTGAGGCATTTTCCGGGTTTCCTGCGGCTTTGGCACAGTAGCTGGCAGTGCTGTGCTCATGTTGGCGGAAAGTTTCCCTGGCATGGCAGGTCAACTATGCCTGCACACCCAACGAATCGCAAGGCTCAGTTCTCAATTCTTAGGACAAGCTCTGCGCACTGTTGGTGGCCAGGAACGATGCGGATGCTTGTTCCTGGTGGTCGGGTTGGCTCCTCAAGTGATCGGTTGTAGCTTTGAGGGCAATGATGAACGTGTTCGATTGCAGTCCTCGGACGAGTCGGACGAGCTGGGTTCGGCTATGGTTGGCATCCGGCCCTCCTGACTCGTTTATATTATTGCTCATTTCGTCATATGGCTCAATCATGTTCTTTCGCATAGAATCCACTGCAAGTTTAAGATGACTTGCAACCTCATGCAGTCCGGCACAGCACGACCAAGATGCCAGGACCATTTCGGAGTCTGGAGCTGCCGGGGGCCAATGTGAGTCAATGTGGCAGGTATGGCAGACATGTGGAGATGTAGGGTATTCTAGGCTGAGGCAGAGTTTCTGATCACACGGCATGGTCTAATCGAGAGTTGAGGTCAGTGATTTCTCGAGAGAACAGATTGAGTTGTTTGCCGTCTCAAATTTGATGAGTGTCCACCTGGCCGGCAGCTTAGCAGTTTCTCTTCATTTGACACACGGCTTCACATGTGCCAGCCAGCAGCACTAGCGAGGACCTGAATCTCGAATTTTGCTACATTGACGCCAACTTCACCAACACGACTGGTGGTGGCTCAACTGGGTCAAGAGAGGATACGCAGAGCAACAGGCAGAGCGACAGTAAGTCTGAGTCCTTGAACATCTCTGAAACATCGGCCCCCGAAGACGAAGTTCGGCCAGAAGACGAAATTTGACCCCGAAGACATGAAGACGAATGCCAGCTCGAAGACGAAATTCGGTCCCGAAGGCTAACTGCCACGACGGAGGCCGCCAACAGGAAAGCTCACGAGCCTCTCAGAGGATCCTGTACTAGGCACTCTACTTCACCTCAATAGCCTTATGCCCTAAACCCTTAAAATTCCTAAACGCTACGCCTGAAACCTTAATCCGTATATCCCTAAACAAGCTTTTCGGTCCAAAAGCTGCCAGTGCGGGCGGTCTCTGGGGCGTTATGATCAGCGTTTTTGTTGACAAGTAGGAGTACTCTTGAATGCTGATGAATGCAAGGCGGAAAGCGTGGGGCAGGGGGTATTCGGTGGGAGGGAACCCGAAAGCCCTATGGGCTTAACCATTTTTAATATTGAGACGCGATCACAGTGCAGAGCTTGCGAAGACCGACCAGTCATGGATCGAATCTAAGCTTAACTGTTTGGGTTTGGGGTTCAAGCTTCCACGACCATTAGTGGTATTGGCGCAGCTGTTGGCCTACCCTCTCTGCAAATTTGATCCGTTGGCCTCGCTACAGAGGATGTGTTGAAAGGCATTGAAGGCTTCCCTCACTCAGCGGGTCTCACAGCCTCTAGTTTAGAAATTGGGCTTGCCATGAAGAAGACTTGCAGTTCTAAAACATACGAGTCCTCTCCAAACCCGTCGTGCTGTTTCAAGCCTCGAAAGACCCGCTCCAACCCCCTGGCTTGTTTGTACCAGTGCAAGCTTGCTTTGAAACATCAGCCCGTGAAGAAGTTTTGAGGTTAAACCATACGAATCCTTTCCAAGCCTGTCGTGCTTGCCTTAAATGGGGAGGGGGCTTGCGCTTTCCCCAAGCCCCGCTTTTGGCTTTGGTCCGTGCAACTTTGCTTCGTCAAGAAGATCCATGAAGAGGATGTGCATTTAAACCCCAACCTGCCATGCGAGCCTTTCGCAAATAGGGGGGAGGGGTGCGAAAGCCCGTCGCGCCTCGCATTGTGTTTGCAAAGGACGGGGGCTGCACCATGAAAAAGGCTTGCGTATTAAGGCCCGGGAGAACCGAATGTAGGCTTCGGTGCCGGATTTATGCCTGAGAAGTGTATAGTGAACTGAAGCATTGGCAGCAAATGCTTCTGAATGAGAACTATGTGCTAAAAATGTTTGAGGGCGCTGCAGTTTACTCAACCAGTTAAATTAGGCTTCGAATTTAGGCTTCACGTGGGGTCCGAAAAGAGGACTCATTTCCCCGGGCCCTGAAACAGCTGAATAATTGAATTGACACTGCCCAGTCCCAGGTCTGAACGCTGCCCAGTCCTCACTCGCCGTTGAATAGGCTTTCTGGTCTCGCGGTTGCGTTGCACCCGTCGTTGCAGAATGTAGTCATTGCTAGAGGAAACCAGACACTGAGGTGCTGGAACTTTTGCATCTGCTCTTCCAGGAAGAAAGGGCTCGGATTGACTATTCGTACACCTGGTATGGATCCTTGTTGTCTTGCCCTCAGGAGCCACGCTGGGAGGTGCCAGCCTTCGTGAGGGCTCAGCAAGCTTACAAGGACTGTGCGGGTTAAGCAGTTATCGGTTGGCATCTTGTGGTTTTGAAAGCCTTCTTCTGTGTCTTGCATGTCTTGCGTCCTCCATGCCAGGCTCAGGCCTATGCAGTCCAGAAGTCGTTGGCTTTGAGCCCAGAGAGGGGGTAGGCATGTTTTCTGCGTCTCGTGCCAGAAGCTTACCGGTCCCATTGTTTTCGGCTTTCGCTTTAGGAGCAAAGCACGATGGATCGGCTTATGCGGATGATGTATTCTGCTACTCGGCTGGCTTGGCCGACTTTCCTTACTGTGTTGAGTCTCTGTTGAACTGTTTCTGAGGACCCGCGAGTGTCCGAAGCGAAAATCGAGGACCTGAACAAGCTCACCCTGGCCAAGGCCGAGCCTGCCGAGCACGCACGTCAATGTCTGAACATTGCGGAAGATAGATTGTCAAATTTTAGTCAGAAACTCTGGAGATTTGTGGTGTCTTTCTTGGCACCGCCATTGTCATCGCTGGGCTGCTCGCCAGGGGCCGACTATATCGTTTGGCGTTAACTGGACATTTTTCAACAAGAAAGGACCGTAGGTACTGTGACGCGCGGTGGGGCCGCAGCCCGGCGATCCGGACGGCGAAGCAAGCAAGGGTCATCCTGGATGGTAAGATGTGGAGTGGAGACCGAGTGCGCTGTACGTCGATGAAAGCCTCGGATCCAAGACTCCAAGCCTTTTGAAGAGAAGGATGGCGCTGCAATGCACGGACATGGCGGCCTGCTCGTTTGCGTTTGCTCCTTTGGGCCGCTCTCTTCCGCCTTTCACTCTGGCGACCTTCCGACAACTTTTGTCTTCTTTGAGGTGTTTGTGCTGTGTTGGGTCGGAGCCTTCGCAGCAAATCTCCCCTCTGAAGGGGAGAGGGGCCACAAGCAACCGCCAATCCTCACCCGATTGGGAGCTTTACGACTCCGTCGGGTAAGGACGGTCTTTCTGGCAATAGGTACTACGATGATCCACACACACATGCACACTCTGTGCTTTCTTTTACAAGATTTCTCGGCGTCCCCCTCTTGCCCCATGCCTTGCAGTCAAGGACGGGGAATTTTTAGAGTAATTCGGAGCGTTTAGAGGCCGTCAGTCACGAAGTTTGACAGCTTTCCAGTGTGAATTCTATTTGGTAGTTGTTGACTTTTGCCGGACTTGTCTCTGCAAAGCTGGCCTTGGCAGCCTTTCCGGCAGGTTCGCAGAGCCGTGAGTGGACAACTCCGGCCGCAGGACGCAGTTTGAAAGTTTTTGTCTTTGGAGCTATTTTGAGATTCCGTGCGCTTGTGCGGACCGTCGGCCCGTCCAAAGCGTCACCTGATGGAAAACAAAGTTCTGGGAGTCTGGTTCAAGTCTTTGCACTCGCTTTTGCTATGCTCTGGAAAGTCAGGACCTGGAAATCAACTTGGTCGCCGACTTCGAGGGCCGAGGCCATGGCAAGATGGCAAGCCGGCATCTCAGGATCTCAACAAGAGCTTCCGCATTCGATTTGTACTGGACGGGTGAATTTGTGCCGTGGAGATTTGTTGCAGATTCTGCAGACTACAGTGATATTCGAGGCGTAGAGGGTGGACTCAGCACCGGGAAGCATCGTGAGGACGTGGCGATCCAAAGCGATTTCTCATTCCACAGCTGCACATGTTTTTGGTGTCCATGCCTTTGCATCCTTGCATGTCCGCGCAGGAGGGCGACATTGAGCCAGAGGAAGTGGAGCTTCCTGAAGCAGCCAAACAGCGCAGGCCAGCGCTGTTCACAGGTGTTCTGATCGTTGTCTCAAGACCAAGCTCAGGTTCCTGGAGCTGGATGAGGCTCTGTGGAAGTACCTAGGATCGCTTCCCGCAAGCGAAGCCAAGCAGGCTCCATGCTCAGGCGGTATGTTAGTGCAACACCGAGTTCCTGTGAACCGAAGCCGAAGCGCAAGCTTGCTGTTTCAGTTTGCAGTGAGCTCAAAGACGCTCACCGAGCGCAACATGCTACAGGCCTCATGAATAATAAAAACGTATGGCCACTTGTGCGCGCTTTCAACAAGTAATAGTCAAACGCGGCCACTCTGCAACCCGAGCCAGCACTTCCCATGCCCGCTGGGATTTGGGAGCATGACAGTAGGACACGCTTGCCAGCCCGAAAGACATCATTCACACGATCCATGATGGCCCTCATTGGGAGCGGCTGAAATCGTTTCCGTACTCTGCATCGCTCTGCCCGCTATGCCTCAAAGGTCTGCCTGGACCGCCCTCCGCAGATCCACCGGGGCGAGGCCAGTCGAGACATGTTGAGACAGTTGGAGAAACGTGGCTTTCTTTGCATGATTCACATGGCATCATCATCATCATCATCATCATCATCATCATCATCATCATCATCATCATCTTCATCTTCATCTTCATCTTCAGCATCATCATCTTCTTCGTCGATGTGTGGGTGCTGCCCAGGAAATGTCTCCAGAAGACAGGCAGCGCTCGGCACACATCGAGGACCCATGGAGGAGTCGGGAGGTTGAGGCGGGCACCGGGCGTGGCAAAACAGGACAGCGACGAGCGAGCAGTTGCAAATATCGGCGGTGGCGCGCCGAACCGTTGGGGCAAAGGTGACAAGTACCATCAGGAGGCACAGAGCTGACTGTAGGCATGTGACTACTCTGTGTGCCCACACTGTGTGTGTGTGTGACCACTGACCGTCACTGAGCCCAGATGATGGAGACAAAGGGCTTCTCCTGGGATGCACCGAACTCCAAGCTCAAGGATCATCCGCCCAGCACCCACAGTGCCCCCACAGTGCCCCCCTGCAGCGCCCCCCCGCAGTGCCCCCACAGCCTTTGATCGTTTTGGGCAAGTTTTGGGGTGTGTTTTTCCGTATGCCGCGTGTTCGTCGGCACATTTCGATGGGACATCCCACCAAGGCTCTACCCGTCCATGTGTCTCATGGCGATGCGAGAGGTTCAAAGACTCAGCGGGCATAGCGGCATGTACATGTCTAGCAGTTTTCTACTGCAGCAGTTTCTAGGTCATCAACACTCGGCTCTTCTCTACCGCCTGAATCCTGGATTCCCAACTGTACGCGCACGCTGTGCGTACTCAAGAAGCCATCCGACACCTTTCTGCGGTTCAGGTGCGAGATTCGTTGGGACTGTCTTATGACTGTGATCGCAGCATGTGATTCCGAGAGAGAGAGAGAGAGAGTGAGAGAAAAGCAGAGACAGAGAACAGAGAGAGACGAGACGGAGCAGCTCTACCCACGGAAAACCTGTACTGTAGCTTCTTGGAGTGTTGTGCCAGGCAGCTTTGATCTTTCGATGTTTGACCGCTTGGAGGCGAAGCAAAACCAGACTGTTCACTCTTCCTTCGTCTTCTGCTCTCGGTCTCTTCTTTTTGTGTTGTTGTTCGTTTCTTTCTTTTTATTTCCATCTTTCTTGCATTCTTCCATTTTTTTGTTTTCTCTATCTTGCTCTCTTTCTCTTTTTGTTTTTTCATCTTCTCGGTCTCTCCCTGCCTCCCTGCCTCCCTCTCCGTGCTTTTGTGGCCAGGCTGGATGGTACAGCGCAACCGTCAGCGCTCACCCGTACCTGGCCTAGTCCTAGTGCGAGGCGCGTGCTGCGGAGAAGTTCTCCCTTCGTACTTCGTACTTCAAGGTCCCGGATCATGGAGGCGGTCAATGCAGCCAAGGGCGTGATCCAAGGAGGGGACTCCGAACATGTTCTCATGTTTTCACCCTATACACCAAAAATGCTGGAATCCGTATTATAGGCTGTGACCTCATTGAATCTCACGCTTTCATATCTCTCAGGCGTGAAGAGGCGCCCGATCTCGGAACTGGAGCTGGCCACGGCGAGGAGGACGAGATGCAACGCAGTGTGTGGATCAGAGATGCTTGAGCGAACTGTTCTTGAGGACGTTGCTGCGCCGGCATGAAACCGACCTGCAAAGCAATGAGCCAGCCACCTAGAGCTTCACAGCTTGCGACCATGATCGTGACGATCCAGATCGATCCAGATCGCACTTGTTGTAGCTGTTGAGGTATTGGATCTCTCTGTTGACCCACCTGCAGTACGATAATCCAAAGGAGCAAGCTGTTCGTGAGCTTCAGCAGCCCAGCAGCCTTGGAAGCCCTAGCGGCCCTAGCAGCTGCAAAGAAGGATATCAGCTGCGTGAGGGACATCGAGATGATGTGCCAGCCTTGACGCACTCTGGAGATGGTGATGGGCCACACCCCCCCTCCACCCCTTCCCCCCTCCAAACTCCAGGCTCAATGCGCTGACATGGAGAGATGTGCAGAATGCGTACCTGCAAGGGCCCCATGGTGTTTCAACCGAGTGTGACGAGTCAGTACTGCTCGCTTGCCCGCTTGCCCGAGGACTCTCCTCACGGAGCCGGACCAGCTTTTTGTATCTGTAAGCCATGTCCTGAGTCGAGAAGGGCTGTGATGGCTATGGTTATGGTTCCTTGAAGCCTGGCAAAGGGGGGGGCCCTGAAGCTTAGGCACGTAGATTAGACAATGTGACAGTGTTAGCTTCTGAGGTCGAGCTGGACCCGGTTCCAGTTTTGTCTCTGGCGGCCGGAAGCCTCAGCTGAACGTTGCCCAAATCTCCACAAACAATGTGGAGATACGCAGTTGTCAAATCGTGGCAAGCAATGTCTCTCAAGGTGCTGCTCCCACTGCCGTCCCCACGAAGCGTGCGTTGAGCGAAGTTATGGTGGACTAGGTGTCTTGAGGGCATGGCAGATGTCAACAAGACACTGTCCCGAAACACACTCGAAGAGAAGGTGAGCAGCTTTAAAAAGCGTGCATGGCTTGCTGCAAGACAGGACGGTTCAGAGCTCTCAAAACCTATCATTGGCGGGGTTTGATATGGTTTGATTTTCGAATACTTGGGCACAACCAAGATTGGACATTGCATTTTATCCTAAAGCTCGAAAAAGCAGTGCGCGCTCGGTTGCTGCTGGGTCCATTTTTCTTGTCGGTATGCGATCATTCGATTGCCCAAGCCTTTGCCGCCCCCGAACGCTCATAAACGGAAGCCCGGGCTGCAGCCGTGCAATTTTTGAATTTTTTGATGTGGTCCAATGCTGGGGTCAACGTGGGCAACCCGCGGCAGGTCGTGACGTGGAGTTCGTGGCAGGACAGACGAAGGAGCTGGACCTCAGTGTTGGGGCCACGTGGCGTCATGATGCCCGTGCCTTCGCTGGCCATAAACAGTCTTTCTCCTCGGCAGCTTTTTTGGAGGCCTTCGCGGAGAAGAACACGAAGAGAACTATCCAGCTAGCAAATTGCAAATGCCCTCTTATTCAGAAAGGAGATGAGCGTCGTTGCACGGACCACGATCGAGGAAGAGCCCCAAAACGGTGGCATTGGGTAGATGTCAACATTCGGCAACTTTGGCGGGTACCGCACTGCTGCCGGTATTGAGTCGCTGGGGGGCCGAAGCCGGACACCTTTGTACGGCTACTTGAGTGGCCTCGTCGCGGTAGTTACACAGGTTGCGCTCGCTGCTCCCTTGTTCGAGCTCTTCGAGGGGCCAAAAAAAGGCGTGGTTCAATGCGCCCGTTCCCAGCCACCTCCTCACACAAGGCTGACACCTGCTCCCACTGCTTGGCAAACAAAAATTGCGATTCGGGTCGTCGAATCCTGACAAGTGCAGGAATTACTGAGGATGCTGTCGAGATCTGTTGAGGGTTGAGTACTTGCAAAACCGCTGGCTCCATGTGGCAGTCACACAGACGGGTCGCTCGCTCAGCGTTTTGTTCCGAAAGCTGAAGACAGGAAACCGTCTTCGTCGTTCCACGACACGCCAAGTGCCGTTTTGGCCAGACAGGATACTACCACAAGCGCTACATGCAACATGCAAACCCCGAGCATGTTCCAGGATGAAATGCAAGCTCAACTGCTCGAGAACGCGTGCGCATGATCTTTGGCGGTCAGTATCTGCGAATGTGAAACCCTTTACAGAGTTGGCAGATATGCCATGCCACATCATAGGTTCAAGCTTTCACGCAATGAACGCTTTGACACACGCCACCCAGAAGTTGCATGCTGCGAGAAAAGCGAGTTCATGAACTTGTCGTCAGACAGTTGTTACTCAGCCCAGACACGCGAACGGTGTGTCCACACCCGCCGCTGCGGTACAAGCAGGGGCAAAAGCACAGAGCATGAACAAACTCCATGTAGCAACGCCACCAATGGCTTGGTTAGAGATCTGTGACCTGCTGAAAGTCCATGGAGGAACGGGTGATGGCGGCATCGCGCAAACGGCCACCCACCAACAGCGGCAGCAGAGCAAGCATTCAGCTTCGAGTGACCGAGAAGACGGAACGACGGCGCAGCCACGATGTCAGCACAACGGCCAACGGAAACATTCCGATCCCAGAGCGGGGCTTGCGGCGACGTCTCCAGGCCGCTTTGGTGCTTCCACGGCAATCCGAACTTGAAAGCCTTGTTGACTCCTAGCTGTATCGGGCTATGGTCGCATTAATTATGGTCATTTCATGACGTGAATGGTTTGCCGGTGTTCCAACCTCGGGTGTGTGGGAAACGCCTTTGGATCTGCATCTGGATCCGCTTCAGTTTCTGCACCGTTAACTCCGTACTTTGGGCCTGCACCCATGGAGATCGGAGAGTTTGAAGTCAAAAAAGCCAAATATAAAGGTGAAGCGGGCTAAGGGTGGTAAGAAGGCAACCCAGACTAAAGGCTTTGTATTTGAAAGAGACGGGAAAGGTAGCAACGCTTGCCTGCGGTGGGACCCCCCCAATAGCAGGGGGACGGTTGTGAACAAAGGCATACCCTCGCGTCTGCCCCATACGCGCTCCCTCAGCACGATGCGTAACAGGAGGCACAAAGCAGGTTGGCACCAAGCGAGTTCCTCGCCGCATTCTTGGAGAATCTTTTTGTGGAGAACCTGTCGTCATGATGATATGCCGCGGCGCGCTCGCGCAACCCTGGACGACGTCACCAACACTCTCGACGTTGCTGCGAATCTCGGCCAAACGCGCCGTTATCGCACAAGTGGAGGACCCTCTGAGCTTTTTTCCCCGTGTTGCGGCGACTCTCGCAAAGGAAGCGACAAGCAACACCACACAGCTCGACTGGCAGGCACGCGGCACGAGTTTTGTTTTTTTCTTTTCTTTTCTTTTAAGGCGGCTGCCGAGAAGGCGCTTCTGCCTGAGCAAAAACGGGAAAAATGTTGACGGGGCGCAAAGGCTCAACCAGTGGCGAGGGTGCGGCCGCGGGCTCTGGTCGATGCCCTTTCCACGGATACACACCTGACAGTGGGCGCAGGGTCGGCGGCCTGACTAAGCGCTCTGCACCCCACCCACCCCCAAGGCTTCAAAAGTGAGGCGAGCAAACACGGCACGCAACAGCAACGAGGCCCCAGAATGACAGAACGCGGCCAGCGGCTGCCCGGAGGCTTCTGCGGCCGGTCCTTCCAAAAATTGTGTGCACTGCAGTGTACGTCTTCAAACCGCCCCACTGGAATAATAAACAGGATCGGGCAGGCACCGACTCAATCACCCCGATGCGCACCGTCACGTTGTGGCCTGACAGGAAAACTATCCGCCCAGGACGCCCAAAACGCGGCGGGCGCATGCCGTGCAACGCTTCGCAGGCCGAGACCCCATGGCGAAGGGCTAGCTGCGCACGAGCAACAACTGGCCACGGCAAGCCCTGCGACACTGCCGTGAGTTGGGGGTTCAGTGCACGACGGGCTTGCACGTCATGGATCAACGCTTCGGGGCCAACCTGGCTTGCCAAGTTCGTGCTGGTGTTGTCAAGGTCGACAAGCATCGGCGAGGGGCTTCGCGAACTGCAGGCAACCATGCGACTAACTGTGCTCTTTCCGCTATGATCAATGAAAACGACACCAATTGGGAGAATCATTTTGCTGCTTTCCTCGCGTTCGTACAGCAATGATGTCCGAGCTCATGACGTTAAGTAGTTGTAGCTTGGTGGGCCTGTCAATGTCACTTGCTGTGTTGACTGTTTGCCTACGCGCCAGAGGGCGGAAGCCGTCCAGGACTACGCTCTCCGCACGTTCACATCCCACGATGCGCGGCCGCCGCCGGGTGTCACCGTGTTGTGTTGCAACAGGGTCGCGGCGGTGGGGCGTGCTGGAAGTGTTGACTTCGTCCGCTTGCCACATCGCGAAATGCAATGGGCGCCTTGCCGGTGCGGCACGATGCTGCATGGGTGTGCCCTGCCTGTGCCCGGGACGTGCGCCTTCCTGATGTTCCCGTGCCCGCGCAGGCCGGGGAGTTGTGTGGTGGCTGTGGAAATCAGCTGCGCTGGGAGTACGACATGGCCACTGCACGGGGACGCTTCCACTTCAGCTCCGGGTGTGCCAGACCCACAGAGGCGCGCGCCGCACGTGGTCCCACCATGCAGCCTGCGGCGCCCCCTTCGGGTCCCGCGGCCCCGCGCCCAGCGGTTGGCTACTGGCTGTCACGAGGGCCCCCCGCAGGCGAGATCCGGGAGAGGACTAACTCTTGGCTGTACGTGCCGCTGTTGCAGGCAGCAGCAGGGGACCTGTTATTTGCCTGTGGTGGAGGCCTGGAGGGCAGACCCGCGGACCAGCGGTTGGTGGTTGCCGAGACCGCCCGGGGCACGGCTGCAGCAGGACTGCTGCCTCCCGGCCCCAGCATGGTGCCGAGCCTGGAGGCCGTGCTGTCGCTGGCTGACTGCGCTGGGCCCGGCCTGCCGCCGCTGCGGCCGTAGGCGCCAAACCCTTGAGACCATGTCGGCAGAGGGAAAACAAAAAAAACCTGGCGGCTGTTGGTCATGTCCGACCCTGTTTCCCCACGGTTGCTGGCAGCGGCTATCCTTCGCGCTGCTGAGGTTGCGCCTGCACACGCGACCTGCGCCCACGCCTCGAGCACGAAGCCTCGTCGTGCTAAAAGGCCGGTGCCATGTTTCCGCACATTCGTGAATTGAGACCGCCTAAGCAAAGACACAGACAGTCCCTTCGTATACCGCCTGCAGTCTGCCATTGAGACTGCGGAAAGGGTTGAAGGTGTTGCTCCGCAGCAAAATCACCAACGATACAAATGCCAGAGCCCCCAAAAAACACCCTCCTCCCTGCGACGTGGCCCAACCAGGAAACCAGGCCATCCGCGGCCCCCGCGGGCACCCGACCGGAACGCTGCGCTGCGGCCGCGGACGCCGGGTTCCGCGCTGGGTTTGCCTCTTTGGACTAGGTCTGCCTCGAGACCACCTGTCGTGTCCGTGTGCTGACACTGAAACGGCCCCCCAAAACTTGCCGCCTTGCGCTCCGCACTGCGGGCCGGCCTTCGCTCAGCCGCCGGGTACACGGATCACGAGCGAGTGCGCGGCTGGAAGCTTTTCCTCCTAGCCCCCCGCATGTTGCTTTACCGGGAACCCGGCGTGTCTCGCATTCCACCTGCAGAGCTTGACCGTCGCAACCGAGCCTTCCAAGCCGGTGACTGGCTCTCCGTGAGGCAGCTGTTGCTTGCACTGCCAGCGCGCCCGGGCCCCGGCGCAATGTCGCCTCTGATGATCAGGCCGGAGCCCACCGAGCCGAGGCTTTTGTCCACCTGCGCGAGTTGTCTGCAGCGAGCCGCGCCCTCACGGCTGAACCCCTCGCTGAGGGGTCCTTGGCAACCCTCGCGGAGTTGCGCGACCCTGACCGTCGGCCAGCCGAACCGTACGGCCCGCACAGTGACGAGGTGCGGCGCTGCCAGCCGGAGCTGCCATGTCCGTTTCCGCAGCATGCCCTTGTCGCATTCCTGCAGTCGGCTCGGCGGGGGTCCGCGGCAGGCCCGTCCGGGGCTACCAACGAGCATTTTCGCGTCATGCTGGATGACAAGGAGGATTGCCGTCTGCTTCATGGCGCTGCTGAGCAGCTCGCCCGCGCAGAGGTGCCCGCTTCGGTCCTTGCTGCCATCCGGGTCGGACGCATCGCAGCTTTGCGTAAGCCCAACGGCCGTGTGCGTGCTTTGATCGTCGGAGATGTGCTGCGCCGGCTTGTTGGACGCGTCATGGCCAATTTAATTGTTTGCCCCACAACTGCAGGACGCTTGCCTCCTTTTTCCGTTCGGGCTGCGCACGTCCGCTGGCACGGAAGCTGTCACGCGCCTGCTGCGCACCAGGACGCGGACGGCGTTGGGCATGTCGTCCATCAGGGCGAACGTGGCGAACAGGGAGACCCGCTTATGCCGGCGCTATATGCCCTCGCGCCACACCCCGCGCTCGTGGAGGTGCAAGACCAGCTCCTTGACGGAGAAGCCCTCTTCGCCTTCCTGGACGATATCTACATCGTCGCGAACCCAGAGCGTGTCCGCCCCCTACTGGATGCGTTGAGCGCTGCCTTGTGGGAACACGCGCACGTCCAGCTTCGTGCTGGCAAGACACGCATCTGGAACGCGGCAGGTGGGGAACCCCCTTCCATCGCTGACCTGACCAGCGACGTCTCGGAGGTCGTCTGGGTTGGTGACTGGTCCCTCCCGCCCGCGCAGCAGGGGCTCCTGGCATTCGGCGCGCCGCTTGGCCACGAGGCCTAGATCCGCGAGCGACTCCGCCTCAAGCCGTTGAGCATGACACGCTGCTCAGCCGTATCCCACGGCTTGACAGTTTGCAGGCAGCCTGGCTGCTGCTTCATTTCTGCGCGGTCCTCCTCCGGGCCTTCCCGCCCCACCTCACGGAAGGGTTCGCGCGTGACCACGATGATGCCGTTGCACGTTGCCTTGCAGAGTTCCTCCAACTCGATGCCGAGCAACTGCCTGAACACAGTCTTCGGACGGTGCGGCTCGCCTAGCGGTGTGGTGGACTCGGCCTGCGTTCTGCATGTGCAGCTGCGCACTGAGCTTCCTGGTGTGACACCTTTCCCGTCATCCAGGCTCGGGCACCCAGGGCTGCTAAATGCTTGCTCAGAGCCCTCGATGGCAGAATCCCCCTGCCCTCTGCCGCTGCTGCTAACAGTGCGCGGGAGTGCCTTTGTCCTTGACGTCGCGGCCGCGCCCCCAGCACGAGAGGGAGGAATGCCTTGCGGGGTTGGCAGCGGCGAGCCGCGCGAGCGTGCGATGAGCGCGCCTTTCTGACCTTCCACCTGCGTCCCGCGCGCTGCTGCTCTCGCAAGCAGGGCCTCACTCGGCTCGAGCCTTCACCGTCTCGCCTACCCACGAGGCCGTGCGCATACCCAGTGCCCAGTTCCGGGTCCTTCGACTCCGGCGGCTGCGCCTGGCCGTCCCACTCGTCCCGCGATCCTGCGGCTGTGGGGGCAGGCTGGACCCCCTTGGCGATCACCGGGCTGCCTGCACCCCGGCGCTCGCGTCGCGAGGAATGTGCGTGTCGCGGACATGAACATGTATGTGCCCGTCGCCGATGACCGGCGGATTGAAGTGGTCGCCAACGTGCTCCCCCTGTGGCACGGTGCGCAACTCGGTTTCGATGCCACCCTCGTGTCGCCGCTGACGCGTGCAGGGGAACCCCACCCACGGGCTGACGTCGAGCCTGGCCACTGCGTCGCCGCGGCAGCGAGGGCACGGCGCTGCCGCCTCGTCGTGATCGGGTTTGAGGTTGGGGGGCGCTTCGGCGCTGAAGCAGCCACCTTCCTCCGCCTGCTTGCGCGCCACCGGGCTGCGACTGTCCCGGCGCACTTGCGACCCGCGGTTCGGGCAGCATGGATCTCCCGCTGGACTGCGCTGCTTGCAGTCGCGGCGCAGCGCTCCTTCGCCAGCTCCCTCCTTACCTGCCCCTGGTGGGCGAGGCCAACGGCGACGACAGCGAGCCGCTCCTCGCTGACGGGGCGCTGGGAACGGCCGGTCGCCGCAAGCCGCCCCCCTGGTGACCCCCGACGCTGTGACTTTCCGGCTGGCGGAGAATAGCTGCGGGGGAAAAAAAAAAAGGAAAACCCGAAAGTGCATAACCACCGAGCGCTTGAACAGATAACCAACAGCGCTTGGAAGAAAGCATCCGCGAGACATCCACCATGGCCACTTGTTCATGAAAAAAAAATGCGGTGCGCCGCAAATCGCAGAGGAGCCACGCGCACTGCAAGTCGGGAGCTGAGGCAGCTGGTGCAGGGAGCTGGCCGATTGGGTGCCTAGCATTAAGAGCCCGCGCGTAAACGTCCCCCCCAAGTGCAACAAGCAGCGTTGGGCAAAGCACGGCGAGGAGGCGCTGCATGCGCGCGGAGCTTGAAGATTTTGCTCACCCACGTGCCGGCACGTATGGGCGTGCCGGCACGGACGTGCTCGCAGCATGTGCGCGAACAGCGCTGGAGCTGGGCGATGACACTGTCTTGGTTTCGCTCGACGGACGGAATGTCTCGAGCTTTTTTCCTCACTGTGCGGAGGAAGCCGTGCAAAAGGCCGGCAAGAGAGATTTGCTTGCGTCGCCAAGGCCTGCAATTCCCCAGGTCCCCACGCCAGGACGTGTCTCGCCGCCTCGTGCACGCCGGGGCCGGGGAGGGGGGCTGAGCCAGGGCGGGGAACCTTTGCTGAGCACTTCCAGACCAAGGAGCAGCACGCAAAGGGGCGGAGGGGGACCACCAGTGCGGACCTGGTCGTGCCGGACGCAGGGCACCACGTCAGGCTGCTCCGACGTCTATACCATGTGGCAGCCAACGGCTTGCCGTGTGGCGCGGCGCTAAGATCGCATGCTGGTAAGCCCGCCGCAGCGGTGCAGAGGCCCTTGGCCAGGTGCTGATGTAGCCTGGGCGCCGCTTCGCCACGCCGAGACGCGCAAACACCGCGTGTACCCAGAACTGCGGGCGGGCGGCCAGGGCGTTGTCGGCTAACGTTGTCGGCATGGAGGCCGGTGCATACGACAAGTTTGCAGCATGATGAGGGTTGATGTAGCAAACTTAGAAGACCTGCTTTGATATGAGGACCAGTGATAACGATCATGACAATGATAGTGATAACTTCCCACCTCGACCATTTCCGTGCTGTTGTTTGCATGATGACGGAGGGCGGGCAGGAGTTGTTGCGTGGTGTTGCCGTTTTGCTCATCACAGAACATGTGTCCAGCAGGGTCTCGATGGAGTGTTGCCAAGCAGTGGCATGCCGGCAGTAGGTGCTTGCAGCGTCCTTTGGAGTAGGGCGAGGGGGGTTACGCCGCTGAGGCACGCCGCGTAATGGACACGAAGTCACAGGCGGTATGGGTGCCGCCATACTAGGCCGGCAGGGCTGCTGAGCATGCAGGCTAGCTAGTTGCTGGCTTCGCTGTTGTTCCGGAGGTTGTTCCTCGTGCAGAACAGGCAAGGGCTTTTCGTATCATACCGACTTGATTTGGACTTGTGGTGTGCTGTATCAGGGCATGAGGAAGCCGGGAAAACATTGCGACCCTTCCTCCAAGCTCTTAAAGAAGCAGGTGCGGACGTGCTAGGGACGTGCTTCGAATTCTGTTGAAGCGTTTGGTTTCTTTTTGATCCTTAACGCTGGGTTTGAGGCGGAGTGGAGAAAACCCCAGACGCTGAGGTTTGGGAACTCGTTTGTGGACTGCCAATCATGATTCATGACCCTTATCGGTGTCAGGGCAATCGGCGCTTCCTCGACCTGCTCGATGAAAGCTTCCCTGAACTGCAGATTTATCGTCGAGGCAATCAGCCCAAAATGCAGTCCTGAGATGCAACTCGAGCCAGCTTTAAACAGGCAAGATTCAAACAAGTCCCGGTGTAGAAGAGTTGGGCGGCGCACCAGCAGCTGCTTGGCAGAGTTGTGGAACGTCGTGCTTTCCATGCTAGTGTCTCGTCAATC